ATGATAGAAAAAGCAAATAACCCGATGTTCCGAATCATGGTGAAGATCTTGAATGGTGCTATGCCCGTGGCTGGGTTTTGGGCGAATTATATAGTGCCGGCCCGGTATGTTTCTGAGGTCTGTCGTAGATGAAGCCCGGAGCGAGTGCGCTATTGGGGATCGTATTAGCTCTCGCGGTCAGCGGGCTAAGCCAAGCCACCTCCGCTAGGGCATTTGACCTGGTGAGGTCCGATTCACTAAGAGCTGAGAGCATCGTATCACTAATCTCGAATTAGACGTCTGTCTCTCTTGGGCTGAACTTGGTGCGGGCCAGCGGACATACTTTTTCAGCTGCTCTTGTTGAAAATGCCATGAGTGGACTCTGAACAGCCCGCGGTTCAATGAAAAGGTAGAGATATGAAACGCCGAGACGTGGTGGTCCTGTAAAATGCACTTGCAGAGTCGATGTAACTGCCTCAGAAGAGAATTGACAATCCAGGCGGGGTGAAGGTGTGGTTGTGACTCCCCAAACCCGAGAAGTACATATACTCCCGCCATGTCTAGGGTAGTTGCGCCTGAACTCTTTTCATTTTCGTCTACAAACTGCTTTTGGGCAACATTATTCGGACATGTTTCTTCGTCTTCAACTCATCTTTTGTTTCCTTGCTGTCTCTGTGCTCCCTTCTCTGGCCTTGCCTAATAAATACGACGTGTCATCGGAGCTGCACTCGAATCTCATCACCGACGAACTTTTACCCTCTCAGTCAACTCATCTTCTCAACCGGCTTTATAATTCCAAGGTCCTTGCCAAACGCCAAAACAACGGCAACAATTTCAACTGCACTTCTGTGTGCACGTTGAACGGGAATACATTTGTCGCGAACAATGATGTCTGCATCACTGTGACTGCAGGTGGTAACAACTCCACTGCGCGAGGTGCCTCTTTGACTATGACTGGGACCATAATCACCGCCGGAGGGGATATTCACATCAACGTACTGGACCAGAACCCCAATGGAGTTGTTTTTGTGTGGCTAGAAGATGTGACACTGGTGGCCGGGGGACGAATCTTCATCAATTTTGGAGAGGACGAGTGTTTGGCAGATGACTGTGACGTGATCATCTATATGAGGAATGTGAATTTTGCCTCGGGATCTGCAGGGGCAGTCCGGAATGTTGGTGATGCTGTTTTCTACTCTCGATTGGACAAAGGGAAATAGGACCCCTATGTGGGGATTCCGTCAGTGATGAATCGGGTGATCCGAGGCCGTCAATGCGAGCGTATCGAAGCTTCGGGGACTAGGATTGACAAGCCCGGTAGACGGCGATTAGGGGATCTTCAGTTAGCCGAAGTGCGCCCGCGCCCAATCAGCCACCCTTCTGATGCTTGAGGAGCGTGGGGCCTTGCAGATATAAGCTCACCTTCAATCGACTCCACTTTTCGGCACTCTTTGCTAGATAGTCACATGTCCGCGTCAATTCACTCGCGATTCTTGACGAATTTTGGTTCATTTCCGTGGTTCCAAGGTTGTCAGTGTGGAATAAATAAAACGCTTGGGTGAGAAGGCTCCACGGAGCCCTGCTATATGACGGTATCATCTGTATACAAGCACACCTCTATCTGGCTCTGTTCGAGTCCATCGGGAACCTCGGGAATCAGCAGCCACAAGGGTCTAAGGATCAGAGCACTAGATCCGAACTCGGAAAGTGAAGTGGTGGGGCGTCTGTCAGTCTGGAGAAAATGCATATGCCATATTGGGCCTAGTCTCGCTTGGTGCATCAGTTGCGCATCTCCTGCAATAGACTAACCCAAGTGGATTGGCTCATATCTGCCGTTCGGTCCTAATTGAGGTGCACTATACTGATTTTCATGCAAATTAACTAGGGTGTCAGGAACCACTTGGCGTCCCTCAACGCACATCTGCAAAAGCTCAAGCCTCATCCACAGTTTTCGATGGCTGCAATTTTTGCCGAGCCGAGTCTAAGCCTCCCGAATTTCAGGACTCTTTTCGCATCGCGCGAGAGACTACCCTTGCTCCTGGGGTGTTAACGATACAACACCCGGCTTCACTTTCGCACGCTAGGCTTGAGTGTTTCAAGTTAGTATGCGCTCATTCCATACACAAGGCTTAGAGTGAGATTTTCTGAAGCATTCAAGTGTTGTGGGTACCAAAATCGACATGGGTAGCGAAGTGGGGCGCCACGATAGGGCGCCCTCATTTAGGCTCGTCTATGGTTCAGCCGCATTTTTGGGGTCGAGCACCAATGCCCATATCTGGAAGTGGGCGGAAATATAAAACCGGTTCTTGTCTAATGTGAGCAACACACTTCTCTACCACCTGAGCACACTCGGCATTTACACAAACCCCCAAATTCAGACAGGAGAGAAGACAACACGGAAATCCAGTACTATCGGAGATCATTGAATATGAGCGGGTTGCAGAAACCAATGCGTATTGCACTCCAAGCATGCTCCTCGTGTAGATCGAAAAAGAGAAAGTGTGATAGGGTGCTCCCAACTTGCTCCAGATGTGAACGGTGTGTTTGCAAAATAAGTTGCGTTTGAGGGCCATCTACTGATATCTTGCCAAGGCTCGCGCACTGTTGTCAATATATGAATATACAAAGGTGATTTCTTTTTCCAGAATGGCACCAAAAAAGGCTTCGATATGAAGATCATGCTGACTCAAGAAAGTAACGACTCGAGTGACCTAGAGCCAATTTTTGAGCCTCAAATTTCAAATGCAGCTTGCAAAAGGTGCAGGGAAGGAAAAAGGCACTGCAGCAGGGATTTACCAACCTGTTCTCGATGCACGCAGTAAGTCTTGCATCGGCCCAGCAAGTCTGTGATCTTCTAAAGTTGGAAGCTAACAAGCTGTCATTAAGAATGAAAAAGCCGTGCGTATATGATCGAGCTTATACATGGTTACTGAACAGATCAGGACCAGAATTCCTAGCTATGAAGAATAGCGACATTGCTCCCTATCCATCATTACAGTCCTTTCAACGAGATGACTCCCCTCCATCGGGTTGTACCCCGTCATTCCCCCCTCTTTTCACAATAGACGATTATGGGAATGCCCATCTTGACCCTTTCCGAACCTACCCCTCCGAGCTCAGTCCGGAATGCATAAGTGAGGTTCTCACCTATTGTAGGTTTTCTTCAACGCAAACTAAGGTTTACATGTCACTAACCATCTGTCCCAGCAATCAAAGAGATGTGGCCAAAATTATTTCCAGGTTTCATTCACAAAGGCATGTCATTTATTCATCATTGGATGTACTCTGCGATGAGTTGCCCTGCATTGTTCAATGCGTGGCTCCATTCGGGGGCAGAGCACTTACAACTTCGTGCATCCTCCAACAACCCAAATATAATTTTGTCTAAAAAGGCAGCCTATGAAAAGCTTGTCATGCAACGAGAAGCTATCGTGAGCTTGAAAAAAGTCATCGAAAGCGGCTGTTCAGACATGATTACGGATGAAATTGTCATGAGCGCTTTTGCAATAGCTCTACATCCTTCAGAACGCAGGAGGAGTGCCGCTATTCGAATGAGATCTGCTCCACTATCAAATCTGCAGTGGCTATCAAGATTCACGGACATTGTGATATCAGAAGAACAAGTGCAAGGCTTGCGCCACCTTGTTAAGGCCAGAGGAGGGTTTGACAAGCTTGAGATGCCTGGCCTGAAACAGGGATTATCAACGTAAGTCTACTCCCAAGATGACCGGGAGCCATTCGAAGCATATCACTAATCAAATTATCAAGCTTTAATCTTCTTGTTGCCAGCAAGAGCCTGACACGGCCATTTTGGCCACTTCGCTCTGGTCTTGAAACCGAAGACATATCCAAATTCCTGTCCACGTTCCAAAATGCTTACTGGGCAAAAGATGTGGCGTCTTCTACCTGGCTTGGCTTAGCATTCCCAGAGAGTATGGCATGGGAAGTTCAAGCTCTTTCTCAATACACAAACTTGCTGAAAGATTACTCAAACGGACTTGTCCCTGGCTTGGATACTGGTTATGTCCTCGAGATCAGGAACACAATCCACTACCACGTAATGAATCTCCCTTGTGTTTATGAGATGATAGGCTGTCTTGAACCTTGCTCGCCGAAGTATGAGGCCTGTCGCTTAGGTCTCGTTACCTACAGTCTTCTCGTCCTGTTTCCTGTCCCGCTGATGACAGAGCCCTACCCAGACCTTGCGAAGCTACTCAGACTTGAATTGGATTTGATCCAGCTTGACCTGAGCTTCTGGATGCCAGATCTGGAACTATTGCTTTGGCTGCTTTTGATGGGTGGAATAGCTGCACTAGGAACGGATGATCGATGGTGGTATGTTCGACAAGTTCATTGGCTGATTAAGATATTGGAAATTACCAGTTGGGAGCATTTGAAAGTCACCATGGCTTCGGTTCTCTGGCTGGATAGTCCATGTGACTTTGAAGGACTTGCTATATGGGAAGAGACTCAGATGCTCGAGGTATGATTTTGGTTGGCCTGTTGTGGTCATTTTATCATGTCCAAATTAATTTTACCGGATCAGAATATCAGCACCCTGGTAAATGTCCAAAATTCATGATAGATAACTTCTTCCTCGACTCAATTAGGTATTCCCGACACCTACAATTCTAAAGTTGCAGCTGTATACACTCCAAATATTGCGGACATGGAGGATTTTCATAGATCGAGTATGTTGAAAAATACTTTAGTAATGTTCCTTAAGAAACAACCCCTCCAACCCCCTACCAACTTCAGAAATTAGAATCTTGCCAGACTTGATGACAGGTCACCTTCTATGACTTGTCCAGTCACATTCCAATGGCGAATCTCAGGTACACGCAAGGTGCGGAAACACAACATTTGGCCTGAATGACGTGCCAGCCGTGTGATTTCCAATCTCCAAATCAAAAGCACTACTCTCCGGCTGACGAAATTTTGGTTTATGATTTGTTTTTGGTGGTATTTAACTCCTATGTCTACAAGGCTGTGTTTTTTCTTTTCACATCGCAGTACTCACCATGGAGACTCAAGAGCAACAGCCTCTTTTACGGCCATCTACCCAATACCATACCATACCAGGAGGCCAACTCCAGCAGCCTCTCAGCGTCTCCGATGAGTCTCATACTCCATTTCCCGACTCCTTGCCCGGAGCGACATACACCAAAACCCTAAACTGGTCAAGCGCGTACATACTGGTTGTGTCACGGGTGATTGGAAGTGGAATCTTTGCTACACCAGGCTCTATCGTCAAATCTGCCGGAAGCATCGGACTAACACTTCTAGTATGGTTGGTGGGAACGATATTGTCGGGATGCGGTCTCGCTGTCTCCATGGAGTACGGCTGTATGCTCCCCCGTTCCGGGGGAGAAAAGGTAAAAGCACTCGGTAAAGACGCGAAAGGAATGCGCTCACTAAAATGGTCCACTTTTGCTAGGTGTACCTCGAGTATGCTTATCCCCGACCGCGTTTTCTCGCTTCTACTTTGATTGCTGTTCAAGCTGTGCTGTTGGGGTTTACCGCGAGCAACTCCATCATCTTTTCAAAGTATACGTTTTTTGCGCTCAGTGTTGAGCCTACTGAGCTCCAGCATAAGCTCCTCGCTATAGGGCTGCTGACAGCAATTACTATCGTCCATGGTGTATTTTTGAAAACCGGTATATTTGTTCAGAATGTCCTTGGTTGGGTCAAGATTTTCTTGATCGGCGCAATGTCGCTGACTGGGATTTGGGTTGTCTTTCTCCGCTTCAGTGGTGACCTTGGTGACATATCCCCTGGATCGAGTGTCGGAACTTTCTCTTGGGATTCAATTTGGGAGGATTCAAACTGGAGCTGGAGTCTGCTTTCGACTGCATTGTTCAAGGTTTACTATTCCTATGCAGGACTGAGCAACATCAACAATGTCCTCAACGAAGTGCATGATCCAGTCGGGATCGTGAAGACCGTGTGTCCCACTGCACTTCTTACGGCCGGAAGCTTGTATTTTCTTGCAAATCTTTCATACTTCCTTGTCATCCCTATTGAGGAGATCAAGAGCAGCGGAGAGCTGGTCGGTGCTTTGCTCTTCGAAAGATTATTCGGCGATCACATTGGGAGAATATTCTTTCCTCTTGCTATTGCAATCTCTGCTGCTGGGAATGTGATGGTGGTAACCTTCGCTCTGGTATGGCTCAAATGTAAAATTGGGTCACTCAAGATACTAACTTTGATAGGCACGAGTCAATCAAGAGATAGCTCGACAAGGGTTTCTGCCATGGCAGAATGCGCTCTCTTCTACAAAGCCATTCGGAACTCCCCTTGGTGGACTCATCGTGCACTATATCCCTTCTGTTCTGGTGATTGGTCTGCCACCCCAAGGTGATGTCTACAACTTCATCTTAGACTTGGAAGCGTACCCAGGCCAAGTAGCTGCCTTGGCAGTTACTGTTGGATTGTTGATAATTCGTTATCGAGAGCCAAATCTTCCTCGACCCTTCAAAGCATGGTTGCCAGCTATCTGGCTACGTGTTGTGGTTTGCCTTATCCTGCTAGTAACACCTTTCGTTCCACCACCCAACTGGCAAGGTGACGTTGATTTCTTTTACGCTACTTATGCCCTAGTGGGTATTGGATTGTGAGTATCTATCAGTTTCGTCGCATTATTTTCAGGAAACTAACACCCACAGAATAATCTTCGGTATCTTATACTGGTACATCTGGACTGTGATACTTCCTCGGAAGGGGGGATATAAACTCGAAGAGGAGAAGGAGATACTGGCTGACGGCACTGGTATCATTAAACTTGTTCGCGCATATGGTTTCTAGTTGGGACCTATACTTGATTGTTTGCTTTGATTACGTGTGAATGAAACTGGCCATGACTACTATGAATATGCTTCTTGTCGAACCGTGTGCGAGCACTTGGAATCCCATACCCTATCTGTTTAGCCGACTGTGGTCTAGTGAGCGAAGGGGAAACATTAGGCAGTTGATTTGGCCAGAGCACCTATGAAGTACTCGTAGACAATGAGCAAAGTTCAAACTGGTATCTGGTCTGCAGTGTGCCTAAAATGCCCCAGAGCATTCAAACATGGGGAAGCGGATGCAAATGGTGCAAACAAGACAAGCACGGGCCGTCCCGGTCGGGAACTCTCTCGCTCCCCGCCGAAATGCTGCCAATCTCTTGTACTCCTCGTTTGCATCCCAGCGTATCCACTGCGCTTTCAGTATGATACTAATCTGCGACACAATGGGAGGTTGGGCAATTCATCACACGGAGCCTTTATGAAAACGCGGACCATGGTCTGCCCGAGTCATTGTCCAATCAAATAAGAGGCTAGCGCTGACAACCCGAATTTGAAAGCTGATTACGGAGTAGTGGATGTGCTGCCTTGGGATTCCGGCGCTAGTGGTGTGTACTCTGTGATTCTCGGTCAAATTCAGTGCACGGAGTCAAAAAGTCTCCGCACCCACCCCATTTGTCTCATTGGTCACTGTGAAGGTCGATGGTATCTCCAGTCGCGTCGGAGACTAGAACAGGACGAGCGGGAGATGAGCTTGCATCAGCATACATGCCGATCCCGATCCCGATCGGCGACAATCGACAATCAACATGCGGCCCCAGGGCCAAGATGAGGACTTTACTCATTGGGATTTGATCAATCGATTCCACCTTGGAAACGTGATATAAAAATGGGAGAATTCTTGGATTTCGAGATCCATTCAACTGCCCTCGGTTTTCCAACCCTTCCATTTTGTCCCATACAATCACGATGCCACTACAATACGAGCCCGACTTCCAAAAGGCCATAGCTCCTTTGCTGGCTGCGAAGGCTAAGGCTCCCAAAATTGACATGGCCGACCCTCTTGCTATTCGTTCTACCATGAGTTCCTCTTTCGAGGGATTGATGAAGATGCTCCCTGATGTCCCCGAGGTTGAGCACGAGATCCACCACCTTACATCGTACGATGGACAATCCGTTCCAATTCATCGCTACTGCAGAATCGATCAAGACACAACAACACCAGGACCAGTGATCCTTCACGTACATGGTGGCGGTTTGATTTTCGGTAGCCCTGAAACATTCACAAAGTGGCAAGCTTCGCTAGCCCGCGATTCAGGTGTCCAAGTCTTCTCGATTGACTATCGATTGGCCCCTGAGCATCCATTCCCAACACCCGTGGAGGACTGCTACTCTGCGCTGCCCTGGTTGCAAGAGAACGCCCAAAGGTTCTCCATCGACCCAAGTCGCATAATCACATTGGGCGAGAGTGCAGGAGGAAATCTCATAGCTGCAATCAATCTAATGGCTCGCGATCGTGGGCTCTCACCTCCCATCGCAAAGCAGATGCTAGTGTACCCCATGCTCGACGACCGAACTGTCAATCCTGTCCCTGCTCTGGATGGTCTTCTGACATGGACACCAGAAGCAAGCGTTACCGCTTGGTCGGCTTATCTGGGGTCAGACTATGGGACCGATCGGGTGTCGCAGTATGCTGCTCCAGCTCGTGCGACTAGCGTCAAAGGGCTGCCCCCTACTTACATGGAACTGGGCACCTGGGATATTTTCCGCGATGAGGACCTGGAGTACCTGGCACGTATCGCCAAAGAGAACATTGAGACAGAGCTTCATCTTTATCCTGCTCTTCCCCACGGATATGATCTGTTTGTTCCCTTTGGAAAGGCAGCAGCGAAGGCCAGTACTGACAGACTTGCTGCCATTGCCAGTGTATGATACTGGCAGATTTTGTCTGACACTTGGCGTTGTAGCCTGGAGTTTGAGTCGGTACTAATAGATATGTTTAATCTTGTATGAATTCCCTTGGCAAATGCCATTGACAGCTCACAACCCTTCCACGCCCTAACAGACTGGTATAAATTTCTCTAGGCGAGCAGCACATACACTTCAAACTAGCATGCCGTGAATTGTTATGCACTAGACCAATGTAGTAAAGATGGCCTCGTGATCAGATAGAAGGCGCGAGAAGATGGATCCGCCAAGCTCCGCTCGGCGCAGCGTTATTCCTTGGGCGGTGTGGTGTTATACCCGATGAATTTTGTCCGAACACCTTAGAACTGCTTCCGTTGCTTTGATCCTCCATCTCCAATTCACATCTAATATTCATAATGTTCCAACGCACCATCCTCAGACAGGCTCAGGCCGCCCGCTCTATCCTCCCCACCTCTCCATCCACCGCATCGCTGGCGCTGCGACGGACAACACAACAGCGTCTGCCCGCTCTCCGGCCATTCGCGCCCCAGACTTCCCGCTTCTTCTCCACAGAGAAGGAGACCAAGGAAGGTGAAAATGCTGAGGCCGAGGCTGAGAACACTGATGCCAAGAAGCTCGAGGCCAAGGAGCGCGAGGTCATTGAATTGAAGGTATCGACTTTCCCCGTGTCCTCAAGCTACTAGCTTGGCGCCGAATAATAACTAATCTTGAGCGTTAAATCAGGACAAGTACCTTCGTCAAGTCGCCGAGTCCCGCAACCAGATTGAGCGCAACAAGCGCGACATGGATGCCGCTCGCAAGTTCGCCATCCAGGGTTTCTCCAAGGATCTCCTTGACAGCATCGACAACCTTGACCGCGCGCTCCTGGCTGTGCCTAAGGAGCAGCTGTCTGCCCCCAAGACCGAGGAAAACAAGTCCCTGCACGAGCTTGTCGAGGGTCTCGAGATGACCCAGCGCATTCTCCTCAACACCCTTGAGAAGCACGGTCTCGAGCGCTTCGACCCCGGCCAGCTCGTCGAGGGCAAGGCCCAGAAGTTCGATGCCAACCTCCACGAAGCCACTTTCATGGCTCCTTCCGCCAACCACGAGGACGGTGATGTTATGTACGTCCAGAGCAAGGGTTTCCGCCTTAACGGCCGGGTTCTGCGGGTAAGTCATTTTTCGAGTTTCTGTGTGTCAGCCAAGAATCTAAACTAATTCCTGGATAGGCTGCCAAGGTTGGTGTCGTCAAGAACGCCTAAATGGTCAACGACAACATCTCCGATTCCTTATGATCCTCCAATCCTCTCTATTCTCTTTTAACTCATTATCTTCTCTGTACCATATATCATCCCTCACGATCATGATTGGGTTTTGTGCTCGGATGTGGCTGGCTTCTAGACCCGGCAAAATGTCTTTTTCTTGCTATGTTTGTCTCTTGAATTCGGCTGTATGATACGATACGCCTGTTGCATACCTCTGGCGGCGCATGGATTGTCTCGTCTTGTTGGTGTACTTTTCACTTGTTTCGTGACGTCTGTGCCTATACACCCTGATAACTCTCACCTCTCCATCTGTACAATACACATTACTTTGGAGGCGCTGCCACAGCCTCCAACTCCCTAATCTTGCCTCTCTTCGATAATACTATATCTCCATATCTTCACGGCTGCTTAATCGCGAGATCCCAAGTGTGAATCTTAACTGATGAGAAGAATGCTTTATCTTACAAATTCCCTAACGCTAACACTATAGTACAAGGTATGTCCAACCTCTTACCTCACCTCAACTCGACACCAAGCTCTTCAACCAACTTCTCCCGAACCTTGAGATTCAGCTCATTAGACTCCTCGTTGGTCAGAGTACGCTCCAAGCTGCGGTAATTGATACGGTAGCACATGCTCTTACGTGCAGTCTTGGGATGTGTAAACTCATCAATCAGAGTAACATCCTCAACAAGGTCACCACCAATTCCACGAACAATCTCCATAACATCATTCTCATGGAACGGCACCGCTCCACCAGCAGCGCTGCCACCCGTCACAGCAGCAGGAGGCAACCAGAAGGCCACATCCTTGTAACATGCCGGATGCTTTGAGAAAGGTTCGAACCGCGTGATCTCACCCGCCCGGAACTGCGACAAAAATCGCGCATCCTTAGACCAGAATAGTCTGATGTCAGGAATATTGAAAAGAAGCATGGCGATGCGCTCGAGGCCAAGACCAAACGCCCACCCCATTCGATTCGGAACGTCTGAATTGATCAGTAGATCCTGTTTGATCACACCACAGCCCAGGATCTCAAGCCAGTCACCCTGCCAGAAGACTTCAAGTTCCCAAGAAGGACTAGTGAAAGGGAAATAAGCCTCGATCCAGCGGACCTTCAAAGGCTCCACCTCAGCACCGCCTTTGCTAGCAGCCTTGCTTGCTTCAGTGAAGATCTTGATGACCATGAGCTCGAGCGAGCGCTTCAAATGCGCAGCCACAGCCTCGACCTCCTCGACACTGTGATGCTTATCCTGCAACGGATTGCGCTGGTCATGGAGAGTCGGGTTAGGGTCCTCAACAACGACGTCATGGCTTGGGAGTTTCTCCAGATCGGCCATGATCATAGCAGTCGTTTCCTTCGACGCAGAAAGAGGGTTCGTATCTGGCCGCTTCCACAACCTTGCGGCCTCCATCTGATGGAAGACGGGGTAATGGCTGCGGTCGATAGCGTCGCGACGGTAGACGTCCGCGATAATTGTGTATCCGACTTCATCGGGGCGTGTCTTTTCATTCCGGGCAATCTGCTGGAAATACGCGCGCTGGTGTGCGCTGGTGTGGGTGCGTAGCACCGTCTTATCGTTCACGTAGTATGTATCTGTGCGGCTACGGCCGGGGTGATCCTCTGGGAAACCTAGGACGTCGAAGTTGTTCTTTGTTGAAACGACAGGATTCTTTTCGGAGTAGTTTCCGAAGTCTGGGCCGGTGAATTGACTTTCGATGAGCTGGCGGGTTATGGCGAGAGGGTGGTTTTCATCGAGGTAGAGACGGCGTCCAACGTGGGACAGGATTGTGTCGGGGGTGTTGGTCCATTCGTCTGTTTTGTGGGTCTCATCTTCGATTTTCAGAGTCGACTTTTGGGTTTTCTGGGGAGATGCGGTGGATAGGATCCGGCGAGTTGGGGTTGAGCTCCATTCGCGGAGCGAGAAAGCCGGTCTCGATGGAATTGGGATCGAGCGCGGGACGATGGTTGGTCGGGCGGCGATTGACCATCGACCACTGCTGGCGCGCAGGGCTCGACTAGTGGCTGGCAACCGCATTGTTGAGGTGAGGTTAGGTGGTGGGCCCGTCGTCTGCGATCAGCTCTATCAACATCGATTGATACGTTCGGGCCGGCAAAATTAGTCCCCGAACTACATACGAACAGAGATCAATTACAATGTTCCACAACACAGATTTCACTAATGGCGTTTTGAAGACTTATCCATCGTGGTTGAAAAAGGCCAAGGTTGCAGGCAGAGTTTCAAGATTATCGTTCTTGTTAGCCATCTATGCTTGCCGAGATTACTCCGTGCCCCGTATGAAGGATATATTCGTGGGCATAGATGCACAATGGCCCTGTTATTGTTGATTTGTTGTACGAAATACCCCGTACTTGTTCAAAGAGAATGACTCATTCAGAACAATCCAAGCGGTCCTGTCCTAAAGCAAGTGACTAACTCCGCAGCGGATGGGTCTGAGGTATGGCAGACATGCTACCAAGCACTTGAGCACAGCTCAAGTGGTACTACTACTGGCTTCGAACTTGAGCGCCTCGAGGAGAGTCTAAAGAGATATTGCGAACATCTATAGATGTGGGCATGTCCAAAGAATGAAGTGCCCTAAAGAGACCTTGAAACCCCCAGTCCCACCGGTGATAGCCTTTATGCCAATATCGCATATCTGATCTCCGTTCCTCGGTAATGCGCCGCAACCGCCAAACCGCCAAACCCAACTGCCACTCCTCCGAAGAACCCCGCGCATGATAGCCGAATTTGTTCACTCGGCGATTCGATAGTCAATTTTAGATTTGAATTTCAAATGGCACGTTTCGGCATCTAATTTAACGACCGAGCAAAGTGAAAGAGACCCTGGTGCGTCCCTTACCGCGTTGACGCCAGGGCCCAGCCATGCTCAAGGCCGCAAAACCGAGAATGTGATTGGTGTAACTGAACAGCCCCCACTAAAGGCCACACCGTGATTGGCTGCAGGCTCCATTTCGGCTGAGGGTTCGGAGGTTTGATTTGTCTCCGTATTTTTACTTATTATTCGGAGGCCAAAATTACGTCAAAAGTCACAAAAAAAGAATATCCCTCTTGACACTCTCCCCTCTCTCTGTGTGTTTACAGAGCCCTTGTGACAAGATGGCAGACGGAAAGATGGCAGAAGGCAAAATGCTGGCCCAGGTGGCTCCTGCCCAAACTGCCTCAAAACCGAAGCAGGTGCATTACCCGTTTTGGTTTGGAGGGTCGGCCTCATGCTTTGCTGCGGGCGTGACACACCCCTTGGATCTGGGTAGGTGGCTCTCTCACCGTTGAACTCTACACTGTATGCTGACCATGCGCCTTATAGTTAAGGTAATTTCGAGCTCCCGCCGTTCGCCCGAGATCTCGGACCTGACAATTCAAATCGCTGACCCTCGTCGCATATAGGTTCGCCTGCAGACACGCGCGCCAGATGGGCCACGGACAATGGTTGGAACTTTCGCACATATCGTGAAGAACACCGGCTTCACAGGTCTTTACAGCGGTGTATGTGTGATCCCAAACACCAGTCAGATCCTCGATAAAGACGCAAGTGACTAATGAAATTCGATTGCGCGATATAGCTGTCAGCCGCAATGCTACGACAAATCACATACTCGACCACACGCTTCGGCATCTACGAAGAATTAAAATCGCGAATCGCGAAACCCACCGCAGACTCCCCAACCGGCTCACCGAGTCTCCTTACTTTGATCGGCATGGCCTCCGCCTCGGGCTTCATTGGCGGGATTGCAGGTAACCCAGCAGACGTCATGAATGTGCGCATGCAATCAGACGCTGCTCTTCCCCCGGCCCAGCGCCGCAACTACCGCCATGCATTCCACGGTCTGGTGCAAATGACCAAGACCGAGGGCTTCAGCTCTCTCTTCCGTGGCGTGTGGCCAAATTCCACCCGTGCCATTCTCATGACTGCCTCGCAGCTTGCTTCTTACGATACATTCAAGCGCATGTGCATCGAGAAGGCTGGTATGGCCGACAACCTGGGCACCCACTTCACTGCCTCTTTCATGGCTGGCTTCGTGGCCACCACCGTATGCAGCCCCGTTGATGTGATCAAGACGCGCATCATGAGTGCTTCTCCTGCTGAGAGCCGTGGCCACACCATCGTGGGTCTTCTCCGTGACATTTGTCGCAAGGAGGGCCTCGGTTGGACTTTCCGTGGCTGGGTTCCCAGTTTCATTCGATTGGGACCTCACACCATTGCCACTTTCTTGTTCCTCGAAGAGCACAAGAAGCTATACCGCAAGCTCAAGGGCATTTAAATAAACCAAGAGTGACAACCCCTCTAGATTTTCGGCACAATTCCCCATTTCACACCATTTACAGCTTCCCCATATCTTTTTGGGATATACGACTGCTTGCTATTTTGGTTGACTCTCCCGCTTGATTGGTGCTCTTTGGGACTTTAAGCAAGTTCCTTGTTTGTATATAGCTTGCATTCTTTGGGATGTTTCTCCTCTAGAGGTTTCACCGGTGGCTGAGCCGCCATGGTGTATATCTCGATGGGCCTGTGATTTTGTACAGTGTGGATGATGCATTTCCCTCAAAAACCCGGGACGATATAGAATAAGATAGACGCTGAATCGCACCCACGGCAGTTCCGCAAGGACAACATATAGCTTTGGGAAGAAGACTCGTATAGTCCATGATGTTGGATGCTTACATGTACTCAGTAGAAATAGTAACATCCAGCACTTGGAATCATTCAGAAAAGCGCAAGCTAACAAATTTGACTTTGCAATACGACGAGTCTATGGTTGTCCTTTTCTGCCTTACATGAGCAGAATGCCCCAGGAAGAGAAATAGAGCCTGTATCCTCGCGTGACCCAGTAGAGTACATTGGAATTGTCGATACACATAAAATTTGACACGGTTCAACTGACCAACCCAACAGACCAACAACTGGTCATCTATTTGTCAAGGTGGGCGGGGAAGTTGCCAGCCTCTGTAAATGCACATTAGTTTTCATGGTGCCATACCCAGGAGACGAAGATACGTACCGCGCTGGCCATCCCAGCGGTCAGTCCAGGCCTTGGGGCACAGAGCGCGGAAGGAGTGGTAGAACTGCGATTGAACCGTTAGATGCTATTGTGTAGCATGATCAGCTCGGAGTCGAAATTACCTGCTTGCAGGGACGGAAGTCCTCGCCCTTGGCAGTGGTGCACTTGTAGTAGTCGACATAGTTTTGCCAGCAGTGCTTGGTCCTATCGACAGTCAGGGTGAAATGAAACAGCGGCGAGTCGCAGGAATTGTCACGTACTGGTTCTGCTGGGGGAAACGAGCGTCGTAACCTGCGATTCAATCGAAAATTGTCAATTTCACCATAGCCCAAGCGATCGAGGGATATTGGTCTACGCGGATGCGAAGATGACGGTATAGGGGCGAAAAGAGCGGAAATACGCACCAGCTGCGATTGAATTAGCCATTGACTTCAACTTGACTCTAGGTCCTGGTTTTCCCGCGAGAGAGGAGTAAACTTACCAGTCACGAACTTGAAGGGCTTGGTCTCGAGAACCTCATCGGGGTCAGCTTCCGGAATGGCACCCATTTTTGCGAGGTGTAGTTTCTGAGGGAAACAACCAAAGAAAGAATTGGAGTTGAGTGGTAAGAGGGGGGGGAGAAGGTGAGCCGGGAGCGACGTTGGGTGATTGAAGCTGTAAAGTGCCGGGTATGACCGCGGGCGGTCAAGCGAGGGCCACTCACAGCCTCGCTTTTACACCCGAGCCAGTCACGTTGTTGGAACGCTGCTTGTCCAACCTCATCCTCTATCCCACTCATCCTTCTTGAACTTCAAGGTTGAACCCCAGAGATCTCCACCATGTATGCCACTCGGATCATGCGCATGCAGGCCACTCGGTCTTTTGCCTTCCCTACTCCCGTATGTTGATTCCCTCGGCTATCCTGCGATCATACGATCAGTCACTAACTCCTGTCTACAGAAGGAGCCCCATAGCGGTATGCATTTCCACGATCTCCAGATTTCGTGATCCATGGATCTGAGCTGTTCATGACTTTACTGCAACTGCAATTGAACTAACTTTGCGACTATAGCCCACACTATCTCCCAGCGTCTGCGCCAGCTCAAGCGTGTTCCCCCCGAGCTGTTCCCCATCTGTATGTACTACCTTATTGCCTGCGACTCGGAAACCAAACTGACAATTACTTTTTCTCTCTAGTCTTCGTCTGCGGGTATGTTTTTATCTCTTGATACTCTGCCGCTTGATCCCGGAGCACCTGCCCGAATTTTTTTGCCCCAACCGCGTGATGGCAATCGACATATTTTACACGATGCTAACTTGAATAATTGCAGTGTCGCGATCTGCGCTGGTATCTACTCTGCCACCAACAAGATCTTGACCGACAAGACTCTGCGCCTTTCCCGAAACAGCCCCGAGAGCCGTGAGCACTAAATGTACCACCATATTGCCTTGAGGTCCCAGAATGAGACTCGCGATTTTGGATCGTTTCCGCTTGTACTGTTGATTAGGAGAATTTGAACCCGTTGAGTACGATTTGCGACCAGCCAGTGCAAAGCAAAAAAAAAAAAAAAACCAAGGCGGACGGACTTCACGTCGACGCCCGTGTACATACTCCGGCTTCCCGGATATGAATCTTCGTGTAATTGGCAAATTGTACTGTCCAGATTGGATTTGTGCTTTTGGTTTGTCATCTTCGTCGTAGCTATCGTAAGTTGTAGCTGTAGCTATGCTTCACTCAGGCTTGGGCCCGGCAACATCTCGCTGCGTCAAGCCCTGCATAGAGTCTGGAACGGAGTCGCTCGCAGCCTGGGCGCTCTCTGTGGCCTCCCGATCCTCCTCGCTGACAGCATGCTTGGCCAAATAGCCCTCCTATGTATGGTGTGGTTAGTTCAAAATGCGATCAGATATCAAGTTGATCTAGACGAACCTGTTCCCAAATTGCAGTCTTGCTACCGAGTCCCTCGTTGGTGTCCTTCTGTGGCTTTGCCGCGGCGACTTTGATTGTGCGCCCGTAGATCTCGCTGCCATCCATATTGTCGATTGCCTCTTTGGCGTCTTGCGGAATATCAAATTCGACATATCCGAATCCACGGTGAGACTCGCGCGAGTTAGGCTGCTCCGGCTTTGGCAGTGAGATGTCGACCACCTCGCCGAATGGTACAAATGCCTCTGCGAGAGTATGTGCGGTCACACCCTGATCAAGGCCGCCCACGTAGACGGTGCTCTTCAATCGCGTCGTGTCGCTCATGATGTGTAGCTGCTCGCGTTCTCGTATTTGGTAGAACTTCAGTACTTGTGAGAAGTACAAGGTGGTGTAGAGATAAGATCACAGTGGTGTACAATAGCAAGCAGACTGTTGAGCTGTGTAGTAGGTAAATCCAAGCTGTCGATTGTTATCGGATCGGTCTTCTTTCTGACATAATACAAGGAATTACCCGCAGTGCTGTATTTGGTAGAAGTAGTGGAACCTTTTGCTTCCACAATACAATACTAATATGTACATTTCCTATGGATATACTAATCGGATTTTTTGTGATCCATTCCCTTCGGATCAAGGCCAGATGACCTAGACGCAGGGCAAGAGGCTTAGAACTTAGAAAGGTGTTTGGGGCTATAATCTGGGAACCAAATTGTGACCGTGAATTGCTATCTGAACCGGATAATGATAGCTAATAAGAATAACTCGAACAATCCAATTTTCTTCTGCGCAAAATACAGGTAGGCAGGCATATCCAGGCGCAGTGGCAAAAGATCACGATCTATTGGTATCTGCGACAGACTGGGCCGAAAGAGAAGAGAAAAGACCCAAAAGAGCAAGCAAACATCTATCTACACCTGGCGGTCTGAGCCCTGAGATGGGTCATCTCGACAAATGTGTCTCTCCTGGGATATCTGGTCTCACAGGTGCTGGGGCAGCGGAGTGACAAGCACTCCGTAGCTAGTGGCACCTGTACTCCGTATACCGCCCTACTCGGTGATCGGAAGAATGATATCACGTGCGACTCAAGATTCGGAGTGTTTTGGCGAGACCAAAAGCGGTCTAGCGCGTGTTCCCCGGTCCCTCCAAGTCCAGGAGGCCACTTGGTTTACTGCTATACTTGGAACATCTAGAGCATCACCCCATTGCTAATTATTCATACGGGGTGGTTCTTGATTCCTTTCCTTTCTCTTCGTCATAAACACTTTCTTCTCTGGATGATTCATTCCTCTTAACTCCATTGGCCTCGATCTTCACCGAAACATACCTTCCCTACCATCATCATGGTGCGTCTGAGGGAAATCCCAAGGACGGCCACCTTCGCCTGGTCTCCCGGCGCTGCATCCCCATTGATCGCCACCGGAACTCGCGCTGGAGCCGTTGACGCCGACTTTTCGAACAAGACATGCCTTGAGCTTTGGGATCTCGATCTTGACCGCGCAGATGCGAGCGAAGAGCTGCACCCTCTAGCCAAGATCGACACAGACTCCGGGTGAGTTGAGATCTCGAACTTTGACCTGTGAATCTATATACTGACGCCCAGATCGATCTTATCAGCTTCAATGACTTGGCATGGACTACATCCGAAGATAACCAGCGCGGTGTGATTGCGGGTGGTCTGGAGAATGGCTCCTTGGACCTGTGGGACGCCGATAAGCTCCTTGCTGGATCTAGGTATGTTCAATCTCTAAAGTGCAGAATAATGCCAGAGGTCTGTGCTAATCAATTATTCTTAGCGATGCTTTGATCTCAAGAACAACCAAGCACAGCGGTGCCATCAAGGCACTTCAGTTCAACCCCAAGCACCCGAATCTTTTGGCAACAAGTGGTTCAAAGGGAGAGGTAGGAAAGAATTCAAAATGGCTGTTTGGGTTTTGGCTAAATTATCGGCTAGCTATTCATCTGGGATTTGAACGACATCGAGAACCCCTATAGATTGGGCAACAACGCGGCCCGCACCGATGACATCGACTGCTTGGCGTGGAACAAGAAGGTCCCTCATATTTTGGTCACCGGTAGCAGCGCTGGATTCGTGACAGTCTGGGATGTCAAGACGAAGAAGGAGAGTCTCACGCTAAACAATAAGGGCCGCAAAGCCGTCAGCGCAGTCGCATGGGATCCCGCGAGGCCCACAAAGCTCATTACCTCAACACCCCTCGAGTCGGACCCAGTCCTTTATGTTTGGGATCTGCGTAATTCCCACGAGCCGGAGCGGGTACTAGCAGGACACGAGTCAGGTGTGCTTTCACTGTCATGGTGTGACCACGACCCGGATCTTCTTTTGTCATCTGGAAAGGACAACCGCAACATCTGTTGGAATCCTCAAACCGGTCAAGCGTATGGCGAGTTCCCTGTTGTCACCAACTGGACTTTCCAGACCCGCTGGAACCCCCACAACCCCAACTTCTTCGCCACCGCATCCTTTGACGGAAAGATCTGTATCCAGACTCTGCAGAACACCAAGACCGATAACTCTCAGGCCATCGCCGATCACAACCAGTCCCTGGATGGTGAAGACTTCTTTGCCAAGGCTCAGACTCAACCCCAAGTATCCAAGTTCTCCCTTCCCAAGGCCCCTCGCTGGCTTGAGCGGCCATGTGGTGTCACCTTTGGTTTCGGCGGCCGCGTGGTCTCATTTGGCACTGCCACGGACTCCCGTGTGTCCAAAATCAAGATCACACCTTTCGAGGTCGATGAGACTGTTGGTAATGCCACAGAGAGTTTCGAGACCGCCCTGAAAGAGGGTGATATTCGAACCCTGTGTGAGACGAGAGCCTCAGATGCTACCAGCGAGGCCGAGAAGGCAGACTGGAAGGTCATGCAGGCTTTGATCTCCCAGAACCCTCGCAAGGACTTGGTGGAATATTTGGGCTTCAGTGACCAGGCTGATGAAGCTGCCGACAGCCTTGCCAAGCTTGGATTGGACAAGAAGGAGGACGAGGAGCCTGCCGCTGTGGCTGCCAAACCAGCTGGTGCCAAGAAGCACAAGCGTCTGCAATCCATGTTTGACCCCAATCCTGAAGGCGACAGCTTCTTGTCAGAGCTCGCTGCCTCGAAGGGTGCTCAAAACAACAGCCCATTCCATATCTTTAATGGCTCAGAGAGCGGAGCCGAGCAGCAGATTACTCGCTCCTTGCTGCTTGGTGAATTTGAAAAGGCTCTGGATGTTGCTATCCGCGAGGACAAGATGGCTGATGCCTTCATGATTGCTATCTGTGGTGGCCCTAAGTGTGTTGAGAAGGCTCAGGCGTACTATTTCTCCAAGCAGTCCGGTGGACCGAACTACATGCGCTTGCTCGCTTCAATTGTGGGCAAGAACCTCTGGGATGTAGTCCACAACGCCGACTTGTCCAACTGGAAGGAAGTCATGGCGGCATTGTGCACATTTGCCGACGAGAAAGAATTCCCTGACCTTTGCGATGCTCTTGGTGACCGTCTGCAGGAAGAGATCCAGTCTCGTGATGACAAGAGCGGTCGCAAGGACGCTTCTTTCTGTTTCCTCGTTGGCTCCAAACTTGAGAAGGTTGTTGCCATCTGGGTTGAGGAACTTCACGAGAACGAGCAGAAGGGAATTGAAAACAAGACCGACAACTCTTCATTCTCTGTCCATGTCCGTGCTCTGCAGGGCTTGATCGAGAAGGTCACCATTTTCCGTCAAGTTACTAAGTTCCAGGATACCGAACGCACCAAGGACTCAGAGTGGAGCCTAAGTGTTCTATATGACAAATACATTGAATACGCCGATGTGGTTGCAGGCCATGGACGCCTGCAAATCGCTCAGAAATATCTCGACCTTGTGCCTGAGAAACACCCCGAGGCTGAGCTGGCTCGCAACCGCATCAAGCTTGCCACTCGTCAGCCAACCCAGCAGGCGCAGCCCGCTGCCGGAGCCAAGAGTGCCTATAAGCCCCTCCCGCAACAGCCCAACGTGTACCAGCCGCAATCAGCATTTACTCCAGTGCCTGCTGCGAACCCTGTTGCTCCCCCCAATGCTTTCGCGCCTCCTGCGCCCGTTGCGCCCGCCCAGGCCAGCCCCTACGCTCCTCAGAACACTGCCCAATCTGTCAGCCCATACGCTGCCCTTTCCAGCGCAGGCCCGTACGCCCCTACAACTGGGTACCAGCCAACTGCAGGCATGAGAGCTCCCAACTATGGCCCGCCTTCTGCCTTTGGCGGACAGCCAGCTGGCGCTGGTGTACCTCCCCCTCCTCGTGCATCTGGTAACCAATCACCCGCCAACCCCATCACGACTTACACCACGGCCACCGGTCTGCCAGCCTGGAACGATCTGCCAGAAGGCTTTGCCAAGGCTCCCGCACCTCGTCGCGCAACCCCTGCTGCCGCCACCGGGCCCATTGCTTCTCCTTTCCCCAACCAGTCGCCGACCCTGCCACAAGGGCCCCCCCCCGTTGGGGCTCCTCGAGCTCCGTCCGTGCCTCCCCCACCTAAGGCGGGTAGCGTGCCTCCCCCGCGTATGATGTCGCCGCCGTCTGGCAGCCCAGCTGTGTCTAACATTCCTGGCCCTTCCCCGCCGCCGCCGGCCAACCCTTATGCGTCTTTCACTCAGTCACCGCCTGTGGGTTCAGGGAACATGGCGCCCCCAGCGTCCATCCCTCGAGGAGCTTCGCCATACAATGCTCCTCCCAGCATACCCCCTCCCACAAACCGGTACACCCCGAGCCCGGCAGCCCAGGCCGCAGCCAACCCGCAACTGCAATCCCGTGGACCTGTGCCCCCTCCTCCCCAGGCGGCTGCTTCGCCATATGCGCCGCAGGCGGTATCCCAGCCTCCTGTGAATCCATACGCACCTACCACTCCCATCACGACCCAGCCTCCGCCCATGGCCTCTCAAGCTGTCGCTCCTCCCCCACCACAGGGATCTCGGCCTGGCACAGCTCAGTCGCAGAGGCCCCCTCCTGCTGCCCCCAAATACCGTAAGTTCTCAGTCCTTGGCTGCCAATGAAACTGTTACTTACCCACTTCCTAGCTCCCGGTGACCGTTCTCACATCCCCGCTAACGCTCAACCTGTCTTTGAGATTCTCTCGGCGGACATGGAGCGCGTTAAGGGCCGAGCTCCTGCAGCATTCAAGCAGCAAGTTGATGATGCCGAGCGCCGCTTGAGCATTCTCTTTGACCACTTGAACAACGAGGACCTTCTCAAGCCCAACACCGTGGAAGATATGGCGAACCTGGCTCGTGCGATTCAAGCTCGTGACTATGCTACCGCTACTTCAATTCACGTCGCGATCATGACCAACCAGAATGACGAGTGTGGTAACTGGATGGTAAGTTAACCCCACTATCTGCTTTTGAATATAGATACTAATATGTTTGCAGGTTGGTGTCAAGCGCCTTATCAGCATGAGCCGTGCTACCCCATAAATGACACCTTATTACTCAACTTGAGGAATGGAGGCTCCAGGGCTTGTTATAACCATGTGTGTAGCCTTTTGTTCCATAAACTTCAGCGTTGTTTAATCTTTGTTCTTGTCCATGTTATACTTAATGTCTTGCGTATCTTTTTTCCGTTCTGTTCTGTCCTAGGATCTATAGATCCTCCTAGGCTAGGTCTGTTGATGAGCAAAGCAAAATTTCCAATGTATCCCGCATGCGGTGTGTGCTGTACGAGGTTTCGAGATAGACTGCCATATAGACATGAATTCAATGAAGATATGCACAGCTTTGAAGCCTCGGAGATAACTACGAGGTTCCAAGGTTATTCGGCCACCGGAGGACGGGTGGTTCAATCAAGGAGCAATAGACCAAATGAATATATGTACATCAGATGTTGTAGTGAGGTATATGTGAGTCATGGCAGCGTTCAATAGCTGATAACTACCTAGGTACAAGATATCCATCGCAAATGTCATCTATCACCGTCTTCCAACCGGGAGTCCACCAAGTCTACCTCCTCGACTCGCAGGGAAATTCCGAGCACTCAGTAACGCACCCTTGACACCTCGGATATCCGCACGGAACCCAGCGATTGCCTCATCCTCTCCCTTCCGCAAGCCGGAATTGTCATTGGCTCCAGTATTAGAATTCCACACACCATAGGTCGACCCGGAAGAGTAAGCAGGCGCACTGTAAATCAAAGTATCACAGTAATGATGCAACTCTGTCAGTCCAGTCCGCATAGTATCATCCAACGCACTAGCATCATTCTCAGACTCGACAATCCCACGCAACTGTGAAGTAATCGACTCAAAGCGACTAACATGATCATTGACTTTCGTAGTCGGGGTAATCACATCGGCTGAGTTCACAACACCAGCTGGCAAGGCATGCTCGGGACTAGTCTGCGTCGCCATGTCCCGATGGAAGAGCTCGGTTGGATCTGAGGTGACGGAGTCATCATCTGACTCGTATGGTTTGCGTGCTGTGAGCTGCGGTGGAATCACAGAGACAGTCTGTTCAAGCTTGCTGTTGAGCTTTTGGAGATTCTCCTCTGCTGTGCTGGCTAGCTCGTGCCGTGCGCTCGTTAAGCTTGCTAGCATGGGCTTCACGATGTACTCGCTCGCTCCATACAGACTTGCCCCCAGCCCCACTGCGCCGTACAATGTGTACATGAGGTTCTGCATTGTGACCAAAGGTGGTGGTTTAGATTGCTCGAAAAGGAACTCTGGATAGGTGATTATTGGGGGGACATCGCGTGCGCTGGGCGCGGGTGCGGGTGTGGGCGCAGGTGTGGTGCGTTGTTGTGGCATTTTATTGACTGTTGACGAGGAGGCAGCTACAGAAGTATTCTCTTGGGCTGGAGTGGGTTCGGGTTCAGATTTGGCATCGGTCGAGGGTGAGCTCGCCTCCGCATTTCGGGAGACGCCGAGGACTTGCTGGATATCTTCTGAGTTAAGACCTTTAGACTCGAGGAAGGCAACCTTGCGCTCCTGTGGAGCATCACGGATTGATTCGTCCTCTAGGAATTTTGACGCTTGATCTAAGAGGACTTGTCGGGGTGTTGTAGTTGCGGGCGCATCATCGGAGCTCGGCGATGGCGACTCATCGGTCGGTTTAGTTCTCTGCCACGCGGGGATAGATGCTGGCTTAGAGTCATTGTCAGACATGATGATTTGAATTGGGATATCCCCAAAGTGCAGGATGTAAGACGGTTGTGTTAAGAGGAAGAGAGAGATAACCTTCCCCGGACTGACCATGTGAGCCCGACCTCGGCTGTTGCACCCGGACACCTGAGGCAGCACTCTGAACTACTTGTAATGTCAACTCCATCTATTTGAACTGCCCTATAGTCACAGGCACTGATGAATATTTGAATCGCATGAAGTTAGGATCGTCAACAATTGACTGATCTCTAATACTTATATGGCATATTCTACTTATAGAGTATGCAGAGCACCATAAGAGAGAGTGACCCTACTCTACCCCCCAGTCAGCATGTCAGACGAATCACCTCAACCCAGACTCTACAGAACAACAAGTCTTCATCCTTATGCAATAATCCAGAGCACTTCCAATTGAAGTTGAACCGTAGAGCCCCATACTCCGAGAGCAAATTGATATCCCTAGATGAGACCGCCCGGCAGAATGAGAGCCGCGTAGTGTACGGCGTCGAACTGTCGACTGCAGGAGAATCCGAAACTCTAGACTAAAAAGGTACTTGTGAGTGAAGCCCCCCTAATTGCTACCATGTATTCCCTGGTGTATCGCTTGCCATATGTCCCGAGCTGGAGAGGCCAGATGCCCCTGTAACCTGCGCTTTGTTCACAATCCTCCGTGGCGTCTCATACAAGAACCTGTGCCTTCCCGGTTTGCAACTCCGCTGCACGCCGGTGAGGTTGATTGGGCGGGGGATAATAATCTCTTCTTTCCCCTCTACTGCCAACTGCACTTCACCTGTTACCTTCATCCCCTCTGCTGCACCCCGGAATCATGGAGCTCCGCCGGTCTCACCGATCGCGAGGCACTCACGATAATCCAGAACCAGAGGCTAATATGAGGACCAGGTCCACAAGGCGTACCCGTGCATCTGCATCTGCAACAGTCTCAGTTTCTCGATCGCCTTTGAACCCAGAAGAACCCAAGTCTCTACGTTTGACTGTCAAAATGCCTTCTAACAAATTGCGAGAGGCCACAGGCTCTGGCCGAGGCGCTGCGCGGAGGTCGGTCAATGTGTTCCGGGAAGATCCCATTGTGTCAGGACCCCGCTCCAGTCGGAACCGAAAGAAGATCGTAGAAGTCGAATCAAGCGATGATGATGACATCGACGATCAGGAAGAAGACGAAGTGGATGATGATGATGTTCATGATGACGATGAAGATGCTGATGCTGATGCCGACGCTGACGCTGATGGCGACATCGATATGGATGACACCCCACCTCAACCAGCTATCAGGCGCGGCAAGGTCGCTCCGACCCGCGCAAAGCCACCCAAGAGTGTGGAGGCCAAGGAAATGGAGATGGAAGACGACGAGGAGGAAGAAGAAGATGAGGAAGAAGAGCCTATTTCGGACACAGACGAAGACGCCGAGGGTGAGGTTGATGACCAAGACGAACTCGCAATTGCCGATGCCGATGCCAATATCGATGATCTCGATGATCTCGATGACGAAGAATTGGACGGCGACATGGACAGCGATGCGTTTGGTGTGCAGGGCGGGAAAACCACCAAGCGCCAGAGAGGGAATCTTGGAAACGATTTCTTACAGCTTCCTATGGGTAACTAATTTTTTTCGCCCATGAACCGTTGAGCATCCAAACTGACAAGTGGACAGAGCCCCAAGTCAAGAAACATTTGACAGCGGAAGAGCGCCAGATGCGTCGCGCGGAGATGGCTCGTCGCAGAAAGAACCTGAGCGAGAAGCGGAATGAAGAGGAGAAGGTACAGATAACAAAATTGCTTGACTCGAAGACACCCCACTAACTTTGATCAGATGGACACAATCAACCGACTTCTCAAGAAGCAGGCTCCTAAGCGGCGTGGTCGAGCTGCGGCCAATGAAGCTGGTGATGGCACCCCCGGCCAAGAAACCACCGAGCCCGAGAAAGCCGATCCCACTCTGGCTCGCTGGACCAGCGGCGCGAACGGTTGCAGCGTGAGTGTTCCAGAGGAATGGTTGGGAACTCCGACTGGACGTGTGTTTGGCGCGCCCATTCCTACAACGGGAAAGATGGTTGAAGAAGTTTGATACATGCACTGGGTACACTGAAACGGCGCTTTTTCGGAGTTGTTTATGGGAATGGCAATGGTCCGGAATAATTCCATCTCCCATATGCTGGGTTTCCTCGCGCTGTCTATGGCGTTTGGGGGCATATCGATTTCTTAGGTACAAACTCTAATACACGGAATTATCTCAAGGGCTCAGATACTACTGTGCTATGTTTTAAAGCGATTGTGGGTATAATATTCAATGTTCAATCGGTGGCTAGAAATAGAGTCCAAGTCTCAGGCTATCAAAACAGTGGTCCCCGTACCACTATATAACTAACAATCTGCCCACAATTATTCCAGATTGGGCCAATCCCAATCCCACATGGGCCATAGTCTCCGGAAAGTCCAGGTATATTATTCACAAGACCAGATTAGTGACACAGGCAGGGGTCGGCGCCCCGAGCGCTGGGGCTTTGGGGGCCGAGAAGAGCATTCCACTTGCCATTGATCATAAAACCAAAGCTGCAGGTCTCCAAAGTGTGCCTAGTAGCACCTTGGCCCTCTTCAATATTCAGAGTGCGGGTTTCAGAGCAACGTCATCGCCATTAAGGTAAGGACTTTCCGTTTTGCTCAACAGTTGGTGAAGCGGGGGAATCGGTACCCTGGTTGGATACGGAGGGGTCAGAAAGTGGCGAGGGCTTGCGAGCCTGCTCTTTTTCGTATTGAAGCTGTGCGAATGTCGGGTTGAAGGTGTAGTAGCCTGTAGATCGAAAATTTTGGGATCAGAAACCAGTCCCTGCAGCACAAAAACTCTCGAAGGAACCAACCTGTGAAGATGCCGACGCCAATGGCAAACAGAGCAGGGACGAAATTGCGACTCATATTGGAGGAATTGGGGTAGGGCGATGTCCAACGGTGAAGTTCGGAGGTGATGCGGGAAAGCGGTTATCAGTTCGCTGATTAGCGTCGCGTCTGCTAAATTGCTCTTGAGCACGCGTCCGTCCCTTAAATTCCCTGCAGAAACGACCTTCCTAGTCATCTACGGCATTTAATAATCCAGAATTCGCGATTTACACCTCGAAGATCACTCTACGGTTGATTCCGTCGCCTGAGAACCACCAGATGACTTGTTAGAGACATGGGCGATCTCCGCCAAGCATGCAAATGGAATCATGGCGTCGACGAGGTTATGTCCCCGATTCCGATTCGGACGAGGAAGATGGCCTTGACTCGCTAGAGACGAAAAATAGATCCTCTTCGAAACCCTCCGACCTCGGAAACCTCGAGTATATCGATCTCCCGGCGCAGGAAGGGTCGAGCAGCCAACCGAAGGAGCTCGAACAGCGAATAGAGGAGGGCTCTGTTACGCTTTCAGATACGGAAAATAGGACTCGAATACCCAGCAAAACAAACTTTGAAATCCAGATCCCGACGAAAAGCGCCGATAAAGGTTCTGCGCAGAAGAGACAATCCCTCGGAGAGTTTGCAAGTGAAGGGATACGCTCGACAAACACCGTGTCTGACGAAACGACACCCACTCAACGAAGAGGCCATCGAACTTATGGTGCCCGGTCTTCTGCCGCGAAAACCAGAAAACGTCAAAGTACCCAGCTTGACAATACCAATATAAACACCCCAGAGAGGGGAGGCAGCATATATGACATCCCAGCATCATCGCAAGAGCAAGACAAGCCCCGAGTAAAAGCATCGAGCAAGGAATCCACGCCGAGAGCTTCAATTGCCCAAAGGCAGGCGAAAGCGCAATCAAAACCGGTGTCTCCAGAGCCAAAGACCAAACAACACGATGAAAGCTCTAGCACTCGAAGTTCCTCGCCGGACGAGTTGACGTTGATCTCTCAGCCCACTCGGAAGAAAAGTCCCGCAAAAAACCGTTCTCAACACACAGAAGATTCAACGTTACCCCCGCCTCTACCCCCACAAGTGAACTCGGATGATGACTCGCCACTATCTTCCGTGCCGTCGTCTATTGGATCTCCTCCTTTAAACGACGAGCATACGAACAAGCCAGCAGAGAACACACCAAGAGATCCAGAAGCACTTGAAGATGGACATATAGGTGTACGGGGAGCAATCTTATCCCAGCTAGATGCCAACCCGAACGACGAGCTCTCTCAGATGGATATTCCAGAAGAGCTGTTACAAGAACTCCCCCAAGGAACCCAACGTCGATTTCGAAAACGCACAACAATTCAATTACAACCATATGCCTTGGATCTTGTACAATGGCAAGAAAACCAAAGAAGAATGGGCCTTCCCATTCATCGACGGGTCCGCCATATCGCGGATGAAAGCCAAGAGCAAGACTCCTATGATCCTGCTGCACCTTCATCAAGCCCTCCTGCAGAGGAATACCTTCCACCGATCAGACATGATCGCCCTAGACAAGAAAGTGGACACGACAGTCACGAGCAAGCCTCATGGCATGCTCGAATGACGAAGCGCCAGAAAACGTCACACGCAACCCCCAAACACAATCCTCAACTGCACAAAAGGATCAAACCTCGTGGCATTCGAGATGATCCTCTGGCCATTGACGATCAAAATGTTGACTCAATCTTTGATCTGACGTCCAGCCCTCCACATACAGGTCGTCCATCTTCGGCTTCAAGAACGCCTCGTGCCTTAGAAGAAGGCTTCCGGTTTCCTCGTGGGTGGTCACCACCAGCGGGCGTTTCAGTGCCCAAGAATACGGATGCAGGAGACGATCTCGAACCAGGAGGCATGGCAGATAATGACGACGATGGAGGCATCCAGTCGATTCCCTCCGACAGCCAGCAGAGTGACGAAGGACAAAGCGACGAAAATGATTCAGATGCCGAGACGCGGGCAATTCAACGAGCACAGCGGCAGATTCGAGGAGTCCTCCCTGCATCGCATATGCGAATTGAGCAGAAAAAAGCGGTGGACCAACAAAAACTTGCACAGCGAGAGAAAGAAAGACAAGCCGCACTTCATCGACCTGATGGCAAAGGGGTGGCGCGCAAACTTGTCCGAAGGGGCGATCGCTCAATGCAACCCGCAACACAGCAATCAAGGGGCCTGTTCGATCTTGGTGACTCTGATGATGACTCCGATGACGGTATCAGTACCCCCAAGGACACCCCCATCACAAACACCAGAAATCCAACTCGAGTCGGCCCCCAAGATTCCTTCACGACTGATGGCGATATCGTCGAGGACAACCGAATTGACTACATGTTCGCGCCAGTTGTGCGCAAGCCCACCGGCCCCCGGAAGGCAAAGAGCTTGAAGAGACCCAAATCAAAAACCAGTGCGTTCACCGGCGAAAGAGAGCCCAAAAGACCTCGACAAACCCGGATGACAGATGCTTCGTATGGAGGCCGGAGAACGAAAAAGTCGTCAACTGTTCAACGACCGAGAATAGGCATTCTGGATGCCCCAGATGTCGCTACGAAATCTCGACGCGAACAACCACACTTCCTAAGGGTTGCTGCAAGGCAAGCCCGCTCTCGTCGAGATGCTGGCAGGAGGAGTCCGACCCAAAAATTCCTAAAACTAGCTTCCAGGGATGATACTTTAGATGCAAACGATTCCCTGCGAGATTGGAAACGAGGGTCCATTCCCCAGCGAAAAATCGGACCACCTCGGCCGAGAATTCGTAGTCAGTCTGCGAAAGCTTCATCTGGGAGTCGGGCTCAAGCTCCTCGGCCCCCGCGAGCTCCTCGGACAACTCGACTGGGACCGAATGCTAGAACGATGCACGTATCAAGCCAGACCTTTCAAGGACCGGTCGATGCTTTCATGTCACAGCGGCCTCCAGTGGACCTGAAAAATGCTCCGCATGATACAAGCGCCGCACCAGCACCAGGAGCGGCATCTACACCTGCACTTACACATTCCAACCCAAACCGAAATCGAAACACAAACCCCACGATTGAAGCCCCTTCACGACAGCCAGAGAAGCGGGGCCACTTATGGATCATGCCCAATAACCGTGGCATAGCGCCACTCGCAAGGAGTGGCCCTCGACCTGCCGGTACCAGCGCTGCGAGGCCCAGTGGAGGCCCGCGACTGTCCCGAGCTGTCCTGAGCAACTCGCTATCTTCGATGAACCGCCTAGGTGGACCCCAGCATGCATCCCAGAACTACAAGCCTAGTTTCACTTTGGATCGATATCTATCGGATACTAGATCCACGGGACCTGAAATCCTTGCCCCCTCACCACATTCTCCCGCTACAAACCCAGGGCAACAAACATCTCAAACAACAAGTCGGAAACCACCCCAACCTCGACGGCGCATAAAAAAACATACTCCAACCCGTATCAACCTTGAAACTGATCAGTATCAGCAAATCATCGAGCCTACAGCAATCATATCTGATGATTCCGAGGCCCCGACGATAACCCATGTTGAAAACCGGCGTCCCGCAGCCTTCACGGCCAATGGTCTGTCCAATTTCCAACGTTTCTACCCAGTCGAGTTTGGAGTTACTTCCCTGCGAGAGAACACCTTCTTTCATGAGTCTACATTCATCGGAAGCGGGGAGTTCTCGCGTTCTTTGCATCTCGAAAAGCGAAACTTAGACGGGCAAGCCAGCCCTATCTCAATTCGTGTCCAGGATGAGACATTCAGTTGGGGAAGTTGGAGTGATACGGTATCTTCTCAAATGGGCCAGGTCTTCGACGCAATAATTGAACATGTTGAGCGAGGCGCTACTACCTCCCCAGAAGCAGGTACCGGTCCTGATCTGGACAATGCGTCGCGTCTCTATAGGCTGCTCATCAAGTATGTCTCGGAGAGTCTGGTTTTCATGGACCCGGTTGATCGCACTGCCTTCATCACTCGCGCAACGGGGCTTGTATCTCAGGCGAGAGATCCATTGGCTGCATTCTTGAGCAGTGAAGAGTACAATACGAACGGATTGGTCAAAATCGCGTCCTTCAATATGGTCATATCAAACCAAATACACCAAGTGTCTTCTCATCGGCTGATCAGCTCTATGCTTGCCGCCGAAGCCTTGGATCTCGTCAAAGCATCCGCCAAAGATGTCGCGGGGTTGCTTGTAACCAAAAGTGGCTCCTCTGAATTCAAGGCGTTATCCAAAGAGAACAACGAGACGGAGCGCCGCGACCTGGGGATTCGGGATGACTATCCATCTGTTGAAGCTTACGTTGTCATGAAACACATTCTACGAACGTCAGATCATTATCATGGCTGCTTCGAGGAGATTCAGCTTGAAGCTTGCGACAGTGCTCTGATCCGAAACGAAAGGGATGTGGGCAGTCTGGAATCTGGGTGGCGTGGACTTTTTGCAGCTCTGCCCTTGAATGAGCTAGATCCGCTGGGAATATCACGCCCTGGCAATCGTTTCACAGCCACAAATGACAACTGGAAGTTAGCTAAACGGCTTCTAGCTCCTGCTTTGGATCATTTCGAGGCCAGCTCTGTTGCGCAGCCTATCTCATACAACAACTATTGCCGAGTTCTTTTCCACAGATGTCATCGCCTCATCAACCATTGGGGATGGCGAGAATGCAAACCTGCCTTGGACACGCTCTTCGACTTCTTCGCCAAAAACACCCTGCACAATCTGAAATTAGAGGAAGCTAATGGCTCACCGTCATTCCTCGACGAACTCGACAGCAACCCGTCCCTCGAAGCCCGAACAGGGGAACCCTGCTTCCATACTTTTCTGAAAATTGTAGCAAGTGGGCTACGATTTTTGACAAAAAGATATGATAAAAAGAAAATCCGAAATTTCGCCTGGCGTCTGTTACCAAATCATGGGCGCGTGTACCCGAAAGAGCAGCCATTGCATCGTGAGGACCTCGACGCGCTCCGCAACCACCATGACCTTCTCAGTACCTTGTATTGGGCCGTTCCTGATGGCTGTCGTCCTCGACTGGAGACTATTCGCAATTTAGTCCACCCCGCCACGTCACATCGCGAAGCATGCAGCATCAGTCTACGCTCCTGGTCGAGACTAGTACGATTCAAACTTTCCACTGACGAGGAGCTTTCGGGGCTGGATCCGTTTGGGGACTGGTATGGCTACTTCGTGTCCGAACTACAGCAGCAACACTCATATGCTCGCAAAGAAATCGAGTCCCAAAATACAGGTGACAACCGAGTCTCTCAACAACTTGTTGAACGCACAATCTCCCAGAATCAGAGACAAATCGAGGAGCTGCTGAGCGTGGCACTTTCTGGGTTGCGGACTGCGGTGCAACTCGCCCCAACATTGGCGCATGCACACAAACTGCTTGTTAAAACTCCGTTTGAGACAATCATTGCTCTATTCAACCCTAAGCTTCCGCGTGTCAATTCCGTTGTAGCGGAGGCTTTGCAGGTGGTAGTTGCGTACACGCGAAAAGACACTGCTGCTTCATCGATTGAGGCTCCTGTGGCAGTGCCAGTTGACGAGGATAGCCAAGAGTTCGGTGACTGGGATGCCATTGAGGCGGTTTACGACCAACAAACTCCTCCCAGTGAGGGCATTGAGTTCGCAGCCAATGTTTTTCATCCTATTATCTCCCGTCTGGTGTCGAATTGTTTTGGTGAGGATCATTGTCCCGAGGATGCAATACTTCTCAATGTTTTGGAATGTTGGACCTCACTCGCTTGTGTTCTCGTGCGCCATGGACTCCGGACCTGGGATAGTTACTTGAGCGAGTATGGCAATGATTCGTGGACACAACTTCGAAAGACTGCCCAGACAAGGAAATTCGCACCTCTGTTCCTTGCGGCGTGTATCGAAAAGGACGCAAGGATCATTTCTGACTGCCGAGTCGAAGCAATGAGTTTATGGATGTCCTCGTTGGTTGAACGGGCTTCAATGCTGAAGTTTCAACATCGTCTTGCCGAGGCCTTTTTGAATCAAGTCCCCGAAGATGTCTTGCTGGGCAATCTTCCTTTCTACAAGGACAAGAAGATTGACCGGTATGCGATCACACTAGAGGATATCAATTCCCGACGACTGTCCCTTCTTTCCAGCCTTTTGTCCAACATGCGTGAAAACTTACAAGAAATGGAGCTGTCAGGGAGCCCTGATTTCTCCACGACAAAACAAGAGTACTCAGAGGTTGTTCAGCGTGTGATGAACGCCATGAAAGATAACTACCAGGAGCTAGGGAACGGAACTACGCAAGCTGCACAAGGAGCCTATGTTGATTTCGTACACAGCGTGATCGGTTTCTTGCAGCAACACACTAGCGACATGAGGCCCATCGACCCCTTCTTCACAAACCCTGCTTCATTCCCCCTGCCATCTCAAGATCCACGCTACATCGTTGCAAAGCTAAAACGATACGAGCCGAAGTTGTACTCTAGCAAAGAGGTCATGACACTTGTCGGGTTTATACAGAGCATTTCTGAACGTGCCACCATCGATAGCCAGCAAAGCTACCTGATTGACCAGCTCTATACCTCGATGAAGAACACCTATGAATCGGGAACACCTGCAAAGCCCACCCTCCGTGCAGTTTTACTGCAGTGCGTATTTCCAGCGTATCTTGAATCGACATTCGAGAATCCAGCTGCCTGGATCCCCAGCCATCCCATCATCCAGACAATCACGCTGGGATTCAAGAAGTTGCTTTGCAATCTCGACACTTTCGACTCAGCCTGCGTATCGTCCGTCATTGATATGATCGATGTTGTGTGTCGGGCCTCCTGCCAAGCGTTGAACACCATTTCGTCTCATCGTGATCGCCTAAAAGCCCCAGCAACTGTGTTCATGATCAGCGCATTTGTTGACATGATTTGCTCGGTTTTGCCAATAATCGATTACATTGAGCGCGCAACCGAGACGGGTGGAGACCTGTTCAGACATGTCAAGTGGATCAACGACTTCATCAAGTCCGTGACAGAATGTCTTGAATTGGCAAACCCAGATATTGATTGCACCGCAGACATCAGCTATGTCGCGTTCCCTGGCCAGCCAAGTCCCTCAAATGGAAGGAAAACCGAACTTTTTGGCACAGCCCACCGTCTCGCCTCAGCTGATTTGCAACCATATCTTAGCAGGCTGTCAAGTCACCAGGGGAAGTATTACTTTACGCGTCCTGGCCATGAGTCGCAGGAAGTCACAATCGAGGCTCAGATTGCCACTGCCATGACTCAGTATAGTGAAGCCCAACAGGCATTTGAAGATGCCGCGAGGGGCTTCGCTCGTCGAGCAGTGAGTCTGGAGCTTGTATGATGTTATTTGTTTGAATGGGTGTTGAGATACGGAATAGATGTATAACGTGTTACGAGTTAGAGAGAATAAGCCATAATTTTCATCAAAATCTGCTTCGGCTGACCGGACCAGCGTCTGTTATTGCTGCTTTAGACTCTATTCTGATCTTTGTCTATGGTTAAGTACCTCAATGAGAAGGGGCACCTGTTCCATAATTTCTGCCGTCCAGCCCCTTTCCAACATCAAATGTTGAACAGTGTCCTTGACACTAGGAGCTTCGAGAGATCGATCCCACATACACATTGAAGTTGTAGTGGGTGCAGTGATCTTGGACTGTTAGGCCACCTCGGCCACTCAAAATGGTCTGTCCGCCTCGAGTGAGGGTAAATCGCTGATCACCCACACCCATAGTCACGTTCGATGTTGTAATTCCCGCCGGAACGTTAATGCTAACAGGACTGCTGTTGCCGCTCTGAACAGTCAAGGTAGCCGGGCTTGTCAACATAGTCGCGACGAAGATGCTGTCACTCAACATGCTTATGCCATTTGGAGCGCCGAGGGAATCTCCGGTGCAAACTACGCCCTTGGGGGTAGGGCGATACCAGTAAACCAATTTGTCCTCTTCCACAGTGGGAGCCGATGCTCCCGATTTGTAGGCTGCGATGTAGGGCTTGTAAAGTTCACGCCAAGCGTCATGAGGCATGTTAGTCGCCCACTGTGAGGAACCGTCGTCGCTATGATTGGGCTCAGATGGACCGATGTAGTGAGATTCGCCGTAATCTTTGTACAATCAGTCAGCTGTAGTCTAATTTGGTGTCTGGGAATGTCAAATGAACCAAAAGGAACATACCATTCCAAGAAATGATTTCCACCAAATCGGGCTTCAGGGAAAGCATCTGCTCCCAACGGAGTGTTGGTAAATTCTCGCAGATGAAGACCCAATTCTTAGTGTTGAAATGAGTCGAAAACCAAGGGGAGACAGCTGTCTTTGGGTTAGCCATGATTTAATTAATAGACCATTTGGACTCGTGCTGGTGACAAGAGCCACTTACAAGCCATGTATGTTCGCCCTTCGAGGAAATGGAAGAACCTGTCATCCCAAATGGTAGTCATTGGCCCAGGGATGATGCTGTTGCCTCCATCTGTGGGCCAAGCCAACCAAGAGAATGCGCCATCGGCGCTCTTGGAAGCAATCGTCGTAGCTTCTGCTGGATCTTGAAGGTTGGGCAGTGCATAGATCGGATGGGATGTGCCCTTCTTCACTGGATCCCAATTAAACGAGTCTCCAACGAATGTACTCACAACCGCGGCACCCTTATACTGCATTTGTGCAGGATGTGCCGCGTACTGCTGCATGTATGCAGTGATTTTCGCGGTGTCTCCGTTGTTCCAGTATGCAAAGTCAAAAGAGATGAAGACTTTGAAGCCAATTTCCGCAGCTGCTTTGTAGGCCAGAGCCAATTGAGTAGGAGTGTATGTGTCGATACTTGCGCAGTTCAAAGCAAATGCATCGATCCCAGTGGATTGTGCGGCCGCCATGTCGACTTTCCAATCTTCGAGCTCATAGTTACCAACGATGCCCACCTATACATTAGAAACCAGTCAGACATTTGAAAGATGACCGTGAGTATCGTAGATGGTTGACGAACCATGAAGTGAGCAAACACGTATTTTTCCGTAGATTGGTTACCAAGCCCCAACGAAGTGCTGGGAGCACCGAAGACTGAAAGCATAGAGGACAATGTGACCACAAGGGTCAAAAGCAGTTTCCAACCCATAGTAAAAGCTGTTGAATGTCAGTAGGTTGATTGTGAGTAAGTAGATAGAGAAAGAAGAAGATCAGTGAGAGAGATAGATGATGAGAGAGGAAGATCAGGAAGAAATTGAGATCGAGAGAGTGAGAAGACCAAGAAGATATCTGAATTTTGCTCTTTTTAAACCGGGAGCCTGATAAATATCTCACTTATTGCTTGCCTTCGTACCAATGGCTTGTGAACGGAGCGTTGAATAGACATGGATTTACTTGTGGTATTACCCCGTTGATACTACAACATATCAACTGAGATGAAAATGACATCCTTTTCCTATGACTAGATCGGAGGATATACAGCTTAGAGTCTCTGGCGGGCTAGCCCATGTCCTTTGCAATTACTGGAGGGCTGTAAAAAACCACGTGAGATTATGTAGCATCAGCTTGGCCCAGATGCCGCTTTCGGTAATTTCCCTTGTGCTTTCTCCCCATATTCCCCGGTACACTCTTGTTGTTGTGTTTCGGTCATGTTTGAAGAGGCAAGACAATCAAAGATCCGAATGCTACGGTGGTGGTTTGTGAGATAGAGGCCTTTTGCATGAGGACCAAGAAACGCTTTACATGAGACAGGTGATCAGTGAGCTACCATGCTCTTCGACGGTTGAAGTGGTACTTTTGAAGGCCGTAAAAGCAAATAATCCGGAGAACCTCAATTGCGTCTATTTCATAAAAACCATCAATGCCTTAGCTCCCCCAAAGCCAATAAAACAAAAGGTGCATTGCGCGCAGAGCCGAACTTGCTACAACAAAACGCAAAGATATATAAAGCCTGTGGTCTCCAACCCTTAGTTAACCCCAAACAAACCCAAATACAATCAAGGGTCCCGTTTAAGTTTGAAGATCTCTAAAAGTGCTCAGAGTTGTCAAACTGATTGACGAGGTAAGTTGTCATCTGGCACTGGATATCCAGCGGGGAAACGGGGAAAGAGCTTGCAAACAAAACAGTAAGTGACGCCGTCGTAGACACCGGCCTTGCCCAGTCCTTGTGCAGCAAGAGTCTTGAGGTAGGCTCTAAGAGCGGGGTCTTTCAGGTCAATATTCTTTTCGCCCCCCTTGGACTGGCCCCAGAGGGCAGTCATAGGGGTATGGATAATCCTTTTAGGGTCTGCATTGAGGGCTGTGAACTGCTGCTTGCCCTCGTACTCTAGATCAGCTTGTTCAAGAACTCGGTAGCATCGCTCGACATCGACATTGGAAGACATCTTTTGAATGGCGGTGTACTTACTTTTCAGTATTCCTGAGCTAGAAATCTTAATCTGAAGGCTGTTTCTTGTGTTGGAGACTGTGGATGTGAAGACTGTGATTAACTGGAATCAGACAACTGGGAAAGATGCCCTTTTTATCTCACGGAACTCGCTCTGTTTATAACCAAGTCAATAATTCTTTCATGTTTCTTTGATTATCTCTAAAATTGACTCTTGGGCAATGGGTCAAGACGCTCACACAATCTAATTGTTGGGGGGAAAAGTATGGTTCAAACAAAGCTTTTTGTCGAGTCTTTGTTCTCATTCAGTTGATTGTTTCCATCAAAGCCGTGATAATCCTATTGTATCCGGCTGGAACTTTAGAACCAATTGGCTCGATGGCTCATGACAGTGGGTAAAAGGACTGAGCAGGTGTACTTCTAAAGTTCTACTTCAGATTGAGCACCTGGGCAGACCTGTAGACATACTTGAGTAGTAGTATATCGGAGAAGTTGTTCCCCCCAGAGCGGGGCTCGTTTTCTAAAGTTCTAACTTGAGCAACTCCAGCCGAGGCTCGCTTGTAACTTTAGAATCAGCCTCTTTTCCGAATTCTTCTCTAGCTTCACTCAGGCACCGTGAGTTCTGATATAAATTTAGAACCTTGGAAGTATATTTGCTTCGTGAAGAGTTATCCGAAGAGAAACCATTGTTCGTATGGAGCAATTTGCAGTCAGGCCAGCAGAAGCGAAAGACGCCCCACTGCTACCAGCAGTGGAACGATCGGCTGCTCAAAAATTCTTACAATTTCCCAACCTTGCATGGCTCGCCAACGGAGACACACAATCGGTGGAGCAGCATTCAGATTACATCAAGCGTGGACTCGAATGGGTCGCCGTCGATGCAGCGAACCTTCCAATTGCATTTATCAACGGAAGCCTCGATAAGACAGTTTTTCATATCCATGAGATCTCTGTTGAATCCAGTCATCAGGGGAAAGGAATTGGACGGGGTCTAGTCGCAATGGCGAAACAATGGGCTATCATTTCTGACTGTTCAGCTATCACTCTCACAACCTTTCGAAATATGCCTTGGAATGAAGGCTTTTATCGGTCTATGGGGTTCAGGACTTTGGAGTCCTGGGAGTTGACGCCAGCTCTGGAAAATATCACGAAGAACGAAGCCGATGCTGGCTTGTTGATCCAAGAAAGATGTGCAATGTGTATGCGTTTAAGGTGAAGCCAACGATATGTCTCAGTCTGTGCACACCTTCATGTATCCAGACAAGATGTAGACATCACTTCAATAGATATGACTGAAAGGACATTGAATTCCGTATTTCCGAATCTTCATTGATTTCCTTACAGTCTATCTTCAGAGCTCCCGGTCACTCCCCGAAGTCTTGTGTACGTTTTGTCAATGATAGTTAGAGAGGAAGCCTCCATCACACAAGGTGCTGTTTAGACCAAAGCAGTATTTCTGTGGTTATACTACTTGATTCGATTGGTGGGGCCCTCTCGGGGTCCTCCATGGTGTACAAACAAGCTCTGAGTGCATGGTATTAAGAACTGAGGCATGTACATTTTCTATCACCAGACAGTCCTGAAAATTATATGAAGCGTTTTGTAGATTCTGATGGTTGATATCACATCTATGAGTTCAACGTCCCGAATTAGTCAATGAAGAAGTGCAAATTCGAGCATTGTCCAAAGTTATCCTGTGAAGGAAAAGCACACAAGCCAGCCAGGAGACTCGCACAACGAGAAAGGCGAGTTTGTCGAGGATCAAGTCCTCTGTCATACCAGGTCAGCCAGTTGTCAGAAGCCATAGTTCTTATTTTCAATATGCCTGGCATGATGTTACTTTACTCTCTCTTTTCTGCGCTCTATTCGTACCACCGCCGTTAACACATGCATGTATCCACCCGCGTAATTCATTGTTGAGAAATCAACGTAGTGGTCAATACTTCTACAATATAAAAATGGTCCCAAAACACGATAGAGTGGCATGACCTGGAGAATGCATGTGCTGTGGTCAATACACATTGAACAAACAAGGCTAATGCAGACATAGGGAGGTGAAAGCAAACTTTCCAATTTCCTTCAATTGATAAAAGACAACTGATATAATTTTTATTCTTCTACTAATACGCAGCATAATTATACAAGTATTGTTTGAATTGGGGAAGCTAGTAGCACATCTTTGTTTCTCCTGCGCCATGGCCGATATAATGATTCTTGTCCATCTCCTACATCGTATCCTAACATCTGTGTTGCTCTATATAAATGATTTTATATCAGAGACCTTCCGAGAAGGCCCCATCCCACGCCATGTGGCCTTCATCATGGATGGGAACCGCCGATACGCAAGACAAAATGAAGTGACCGTCGCTGAAGGCCACTCGGCTGGTGCAAGCACACTGAAACAGGCAAGCTCCATCTTACATCGGCCTGTTGAATGCAAAAACTCACATCCTACAGAACCTAGACCAGTGCTTCGCGCTCGGTATTGAGATAGTCTCCCTTTACGCATTCAGTCTCGAGAACTTCAAGCGACCCCAGGAGCAAGTCGATACTTTAATGCGACTTCTGGAAGGATCCCTTCTACAAATTCATGGACCGAACACCTTCGTCGAAAAACACGATGTTCAAATCCGGGTCGTGGGAAGACTGGAATTGCTGGATGAGAATGTTATGAGCGCTATTGCTAGAACTATGGAGGCGACAAAGGACAATAAAGGCAAGGTCTTGAATATCTGTATTGCTTACACTTCCAGAGACGAAATTGCTACTGCTATCAGGGCGACCGTCTCCGCGTGTGGATCCCCCGCGAAGATCACGGAGATTTCTTTGACAGATAACATGTTCATGGAAGTTCCAGTGGACTTGATGATACGTACTTCGGGGGTGTATCGGTTGAGTGACTTTATGCTTTGGCAGTGTCATCAGCATACCCCCATTGAGGTTGTTGAGAGGAACTGGCCGGATTTTGGAAGATTTGATATGGGGGTAGTCCTGTTGCGATGGCAAAGACGGAGAAATCAGGTGTTGGTTGAGTTCTGACACAGGTGTGTCTATCTAACTGTTAATACTATTCATTTCACTGCCACAGCTCCCGTGGTGTTTCTGGTGTGTCTGTTCTCCATGGGCTTTTCAGCCCTTTTGCCATCTACAAGGGACTGCGGTATTCACGGAAAACCTGCAGAATCGAGGCGCCAGCCAAAATATGTTCCAACAACGTCGGGTAGTCCCATCCGCATCCCGCCGCTGCCATGGCAGACAGACTAGCCTGATCCTCTCGACCCGGTCGACCAGGGCCAGTCATATTCTACAGTCGATTATTAGCCAGAGTCCCCCTTGACATCCATCACACTCATGGGTTTCATATTGATGTCAAAAATAGCAAATTCGGACTTAGGCCGGAAGCGTCGGACGTCAATGCGGATGGGAGCCGTAGCTCTAATGAGACTGGCCACACCTTCACATTGACGCATCACCTCACCGTATGTGGGATCACTCATTTCCTCTTCGGATACCACGCGCGAATTCGCAGTCACGGCAACTGTCCCATTGTAGGGCGCAATGCCTTGCTGGTGATTGAACCTGGTTACAGGCGGCATGCTCCAGTACTGCGCCCGGTCGGGAGATGGAGGCATCACTGTGATGGTTGCCTCTTCACCAGCCAGGAACTCCTCTAGCAACACAATGGGTGACTCTGAAAGGAGTGTCTTGATATGATCTTTCAGCTCGGATGCGCTGTGGCACACCCTGACGCCGTGGCTACCGCGTCCTCGAACTGGTTTGCCAACAATGGGATATCCGGGAATCGTTTGAACCAAGGCTTCCAGATCATCGCCTGCTTTTACCTCCCATGATCGGGGCAAGTTGAATCCTCCGCGGTCACGTAGCTGATTATTGAGATACATCTTATCGTCGAATTTCTCGACTAGGCCAGGCGGTTGGCCTACTACCCGTAGTGTCGGGGCATGAGAGTCCAAACACGATGCTGTCTGCAAAGGGTGAGAAGAAAAAACAATAGTGTTCGCCCATAAATGGGTGGCCCCCTGGGCTACAGCGGAAGATATCCCCTGCTCAGAGTCAGGGAAGCACCATCCCTCATGGCCAACAGGAGAGGGCTGTGGCGTTAGAACCTCGATTCCCTTGGCACGCAATGTATATGCAATATCTGCGCCCGAATCTTGATATCCTTTTGACAGATTCAGCAACTACACGTGCATATCAACAAGGAGAAATACGCTTACCACCTGGCTTGCGCGGCTTGCGGACTCCGTTGATCACCGGGGGCTCGATTGCTTGATACAGCACTGCAACGGTTGGTCGGGTATGACTCCATCTGACTCCTTTGAGATTGCGCATGACAGGCTGTATGTGTTTAAACATTGCGAAGTTGAAAGAGTCATGATTCTGGCGGGGGTTAGGTGGTTTGTTGATGGCTTTCGGAGTCGGACCGATCCTGCTTCGGAACACTCCGTTCGGGAACAGCCTATGCAAACCTCCAAAGCCCTCGAGCTTGAAAGGTCTACAGGATGCACTTCACTTACCACATTGCTGACTCTCTAGGTTATTAAGAGAATTGATCTGAATAACTGGTGTGGACGGATCTGACTGCTACACGAATCCACTGTAGAGAGATGCCCGTGTCGTCAACAGAGAGGCGAGATTCTATACTCCATTTTGCGCGATAAATACCAATTCAAATGATTTATACAAGAGCCCACAAACGAACGGGATCCATTACGAAAACCAGCTAGCGCCACATTTCTATCCCTTTTCCTCCAACCAATTCGCCGACAAAAAAATAGACAGAATCAAAGAGCCACAACCATAGCCACGGCCCTGTGACATATGCCCCAGAAACGCCACAGAGAAACAGAGATGCTATGCAGATCAAAAGCCCTCACTCATCACTGTCCAGCCCATCAATCATTGCTTGATTGGGTTTCTTGCCTGCCCCATAAACCATCTCCATGAGCTTCGCTTTCTGCCGCTCTCTCACGGAGCGCAGATAATCATACGTGCCCTCCAGCCCACGAATTTGACCATCGATAACGGCCTCTACAGGCCCGAGCATGCGCCCGGGCCCGGAGTTCCCATTCCCATTCCCATCGACTGACCCCACGAAGCTGACGGAGTCATTGCGACGCACGAGTGGAGAGACTAACTTTCTCCGCAGCGTCTCGAGGTTGACTTTGAGGGTAAGAAGTCGGCCGCGGTGGTCGACGAGGAGATGTTTATTTGCGACTGTACGAGAGCGCACATTTGCAAGAAGTTTCTTGTTCTTCTCATATTTGCGGACTGCGACGGCATCGGGGCCAAGCACGCGCGTCCAGAGTGATGAGAGCATTTCACCTTCAGCGCGCTCCTGGGCGTCTGATTCGCGGACGACAGTGCGCTGCAGGTTCAGGAATTGGCGGTCTATTGATTCGAACAGGGCGAAGAGAGCGGTTGAGTGGGTGAGTTCGCTGTTGATGGATTCTTCGAGCACGGAGAGGAACTCAGTGAAGGTGCGCGTGAGGGTTGTGCGGGTGCGCTGAGCGGACGTTGGCCCGAAGACTGCCATCACTAAGTGGCCGAGGGGTGTCGTTGATGTGGGAACGCCTTCTGAGACGGATTGTTCTAGGGCACCGAGGCGCGAGAGCATGTTGTGCATGTTGTCGAAGACGATTGTTGGGAGGGAGGAAGGGGGTTGGGCGGAGAGGGTCTCTAGTTCGCGCTTCGCCCAGTCCATGACTATGAGGATAGAGTCGATGTCTGAATCGACATTTGCGAAGAAGCGCGTTAGCTCCAAGGAAAGGGATTTAAGGGAGTCGGAGAGCTCATCGAGCTGGTGGACGATAATAGGGGCGCTGGTCATGTTCGTGCCGCGAACAGATTCGCTCAGATCCCAAACTGCGACGCCTGTTTCTTGAAGTGTGCCGATCTGCTGCACGCCGTTCTCCGAGTAGTAAATGAGTGGCTCGAAAGAGCGCGCGAACCCGGAGAGCTTGACTAAATCTGGAATTGACTGGGGGAGACCAGGGAGGACCAGGGCGCGCATGAACGCGATGGTGAGCAAGAGAACGATAACAGACAATGTAGTGTTAGACTTGGAGCTGGTCATGCGCTCAAACTTTGAGCGCAAATAGCCAAATATCGCAGCAATCGGCTCTCGGTGCTGGACTTCTGCACGCACTGCAAAACGAATGTCTTATTCGCAACGAAGTTAGTATACCGCGCACCTGCAACTGAATCTAGGTCAGACAGGGCCTACAATTACTCAAGTTCTCGGCGCCAAAACCGTCGTCCTCTGGACTCGGGCGGGCGGTGCGATCCGTACTCGGGGCCGGGGGTGGACTGGGGGATCGTCCATGGAGGGGGGTATCTGCTCCCGCTGGCAGAGGCACATTTGCCGCTACAGAAATGTCACCCGGGGTCGCACGATCACCTCTCTTCACTGGATCCTCCAGCGCGTCCTCATACTGTGGACTTGGCTCACGCGACTGCGACGGGGAGACGCTAAGCCCGACTGTGGGCTTGAGGTGGGGATCACCTTTGCGCATATAGGGTTGGTGGGTGTACCACGCTCTGCCCTTTTCGTATTCATGCTGGAAGCCGGGAGGCGACCAACGGTCCTGAACGGGATCCTCCAGCTCATCTTCTCCATCCGACTCTTCGGATCGGAACCCAGAGTGCTGGGACGGCAACTGAAACATAGGAGACCTGTGAGGATTTGTGTTGCTTTCGAAATCCTCGAGCGACGCGTCCAGGGACGGATGGTCGTCGAAGACGTTATCTAGCTCATCCAGCATTCCGGACGGCGTCGGGCGATGGTCGCACCCCAAAAGAAGAGGCACTGCAGCTGTAGCGACTGAGCGCAGATCCAAGCCAGAGAATGGCGGTCACGATCAAACCTTTGGTAGGCTGCGGTTAGTAGATGCGCTTGGACAAAAGTCTCATGCGCTACCCGTTGGAGAAGAAAGCGACGCAATCGAATTTGTTCCAGGGGGGCGATAAGATATGCGATTTGATGCGACAGGGCAGGTCTTGGCTTCTAAATGGCGACACAGGTCTCTGAAACAAGCGCATTCAAATAGTCGGACAAGATGCGATGGTGCGCGACGCTGATGATATTAATATCTGGGATCAAAGGAGCCTTGAGCAATGCAGGAATCAAGAATGAGAGGAAGAGAGTAACATGCATCCCCTCACTTGTATCCAAGTCCCGGTGGCTGGACCAATCAGCCAACCCTTGCGAGGTCATGTGCTGAGACTCGAGGCCAACAAGGTGTACACCTCAGATACCCCCTAAGGTACTGCAGGAGTACTATCGATGTGGGTGGACCCCCCATACAATGCCAAGGTACCCTGCAAGTACCCCAGTCCCAAGGTGCCTGACCGCCCATGTTTGCCCAATCGATACATCATGCAGCGCCAGTTGACCAATCATACCCCTTAACGCGAGGGGAATCAGAATGTGTAAGACAATTAGCACCGACGCGTTTTTCGTTTTAGAAGAAATGTGATCTGCAGCCAGTACCTGCAGAAAACAAATATCCAAAAACAAAATAAATATCAAAAACCAAAGAAAAATCGAAAGAGGAGATTCGAATCTATTGTGGGTCATGGAGAAATTGTAATAAAAGTACATGCCCGGTCTGGATACCCGGTGATCAGCCCACGCCAAAACCAAGCCCAGACTTCTAGGGTAAACAGAAAATAAAGGGGAATTAAAAAGACATCAGGTCGTTTATGCGCAGCCCTCCTGGAGGTAACTGGGATCATTGTCAGTATGGGAATTTCGGGATTTCTGGGGGTGACGAACGTGATGAGGTCGTTGCGCTCCTTGGTCTTCTTGAGACCACCGAAGGCCATCTTGGTACCGGGGATGAACTTCTTGGGGTTCTCGAGGTAGGAGAACTAGAGACGCGCAGTGATTAGCAAGGCGGAGGAGAATGACAGAAAGGGGCTCAATAGGTAACATACCAGAGTGTCGTTGTTCCACTCAACACCGGCCTGCTTGTTGGCGTCGGTGTAGGCGTAACCCTCAGCGGAACCGGTCTTACGGCCGAAAAGACCGTTCAGGTTGGGGCCGACCTTGTGGGCACCACCAGCCTCAACGGTGTGGCACTGGGCGCAACGGGTCTAAGAGGATTCTGTTAGATTTTGTTTCATGATTCAATTCCCAAAAAAATTGGATTCACTCACCTGGAATAGCTTGGCACCCTTAGCGGCATCGCCTGAAACAAAGTTGTGGTTAGCGTTCTGTCTGGGTTTTCAGGTGTTCACGATCGAGCATGCGCGTGTATCACAGCTACCCCGGAGCTTGGAATATATCCATATTCACAAGTCATGGGTGTGGTGAAGGTCGGATGACGGCCGTGATTGTAATTGGGAGGAGCCGGGCCGGAGGCATTGAGAGTGGTCGATCAGACAAGATGGTGAATGTGAGAGATGAAGGACACCTCTTTCATCCGGGACAACTATCGTCGCCTTTCTTTGGCGCCGGCTCTCCAGTTGCGATGCGTCGATGCGAAGGGCGAAAAGGAGGAGGAGCTTACCAGGGGCGAAAGATTCTTGCTTCTTGGGAGGCATTGTGAAGTTATTAGGTGTAATAGGAAATATTAAAACACTGTACAAACAAAAAAATCTGGGAAGGGAGAGAAGAAAATCTGGTTATTTGTACTTTGGCCCCGACACCTCTCGTAATCTGCCCACCCGCCAATCAGCGTGCAGATGATTCAGTTAGACGGGCGCAACCGGGAACTTCGGTGTGGCTCTCACTTCTCTTTCTCTCTACAGTCGGATACAACGGACATCACATTCTAGAGGTCCTTGATAGCTCGGGATTCCTGTTTTTCTTCTATTTCTGATATGGCAAAATGGGTTCGGAACTCAAACATTGCCTCATGATCTCATCCTTCATCATCGCTTTCTATTTTCGAGAGAAGCTTCTCTGTTGATCTAGTCACCTTGTAGCTCCCATTGTCCGTACTCCGGGGTCTTTTAAACAGATCCCGAATCTGGCCTATGTGGTCCTATCCCCTTCTTAAACCCCAACCTCCTTCACCCCCTGCAAGAACTGGAGCACTCAAGACACTTCCGATCCACCGCTGCGAAATGCCTAAACGGTCATTCGCCCGAGCCGGTCCACCGACGGTACCGAACAGTGGATCCTGAGGCAGAAACGGTCTTTCTCGAATCTTTCGCGCAAACTTAGACTATTACCGAGGTGATGCATTAACCCCATACTGGTCCCAACATACTGCAATATGGAGTACACATGGTTGGGTCTGTGGCTACAATCAGCTTGGCAAATTCAAAGCGCACTCCCAAGCACACTGAAACTATTCACACATTTGTCTGTACTCCGTACTAGATAGGCCCCGCCTGTATACACTAGGCTCTGGACAAGCAGTATACTCCCGTAGACTCTGTAGTACGAAGCTGTATAGCGCGCAAGGGTTCACTGACCAATTTGATGCCTAATGCCTGATTCCATATCACGGCAGACAGCGCTTTATACTTGTGATTGTGATCCGCAATTGACGATAAATACCTACCTCATGTAGGTAGTCAACTGAAGAAGCTTTCTAGCATCTCAAACCCCCCCCCCCCCCCCCCCCCCCCCCCCCCCCCCCCCCCCCAC